AGAAATCGACGATAATGCCACGCAGATGGGGCGAACCCTGCCATCCGCGAGATTTCGTTGGATTTGCACCAAGATGGAGGCGCGCGCGGACTTTGGAGTGTGTAACACTGTGTAACGAGCATTGTTGCATTTTACATTCGAAGGTTGGAAGGGATAGAAAGAAAGAAAGAAAGAAGTTTGTCGAGAATAGCTCGAGATAATTGGATATTTTAAGGACGTATTTATAGCTTAAGGTCAATGGAAGTCGTGCTTCAAACGACCCGCGAAGATAAGCGGTGAAGGACAAGCGCGAACCGTGAGTTTGCCTCATTTCGATAGGAAAACTCAGTTCCAGGAAAAATGATCTGAAGTTTTTACCCTGTGTTGGTGAATTTGGCTTTTTTTTTGATTTTTCAGAATCGTGTACAGTATCGGTGAAAAGTTTCGAAACACTTGTCAACTCAGAGCAATACTGAATTACTGATAAAATTATATCGGACTATTACTGCAATGAATTTCAAGATTTAAATACAAAATTATAAATGTTAATAATTTCAATGAAATTATGTTCGTAGAAATATCGATGGATACAAAATTTATATTTTAATAATTTCAGATTAACAATAAATCCTTTATTTATAACTTAATCAAATTCAAAATTGTACATCGAACTCGACACATTGAAATTTATCATTCTCGCCTAATTCATTTTGCCCTGTAGCTGATTCGAAAATTTCATTTTCATTACATTTTAGCGAATACGATGAAACTTTTGAGCAGTAACGTACACGTATCTATCCAATTTTGAACGAAAAATATCACTACCTAATTTAGTATACGTTTGGCTCGTTGGATTAGACAATGAAAATATCTCATCAAGAGAAGCAAATTTGCAAATCGACTACTATCCTTCAAAATGAATCCTCCAGAGAGGTAGGGGAACCCCTCGAGTAAGCCACCGCTGATTGATGCGTTTCTCAGGCGGGTTACAGAATCGCGCGCGACGCATAATTCGCGAAACCTGAAATCACACGAATTTAACGCCACATTCTAGCTTGGACGCTGGGAAGAAAAAGGAGGGAAACGATGGTAATTCAGCGTGGCGAACGTTGAATTAGTAGTAACAGCTCTACGTGCCTTTCATCGTTCTTAAAGCGGATGCGTAGGTTACGCGTCCCTGACCTACGACGCCTTGATATTATATAGGAAAAAGGGGGGGAAAAAATAGAAGGAAAGAACGACATGGTAAACGAGCATAGAAGTAGAGAGAGAGAGAGAGAGGGAGAGGGTCGTGTGTGGTTTACGCATCGCTGCTGAAATCGTTACGAACAAAGAGCGCGAACAAAAGAAAGCCTGGAAAAACTAAGTCTGACTCGAATTTACTGATTTAGATCTCGTTTCGGATCCAAGTCACGCGTGAATCGCGAAGGGGCTACGAATCTTATTATTTAAATACGCGCAGTCCCGTAATGTGTAGAATCCAATTTCAAGATGGCCGAACTCGGTGGGTCAAGAAGAGTCGAAAAGGTGTTTAAAAGAAATTTTCATCTTTTTGAGAAAGAAGTGTGTTGTTCTAGGTACTTTGCTGTTTAAAATGATATACGATTAATTAGAATCAGATGAATGGAAGGTTTTTGGAATATTTTCTGCATATAATTGTATGAATATGTATTTTTTTCTTCTAAATTCTTTTATGTTTTGGAACTGTTATTTAAAGAGTGATTTTATTGGTTTTAGAAAAGCAATTACTACGCTCCGTTCAATGAAAATTTTTAAACGTGGGAAAAATGCATGGAATGAAGGTGTAGTAGCGTCTTTTTGGTCTAATCGTGATTTCTCGAATATTAGAAAATGGCGTTTCTCGAATGTAAAGAATTGACATGCAACACTTTCTTATTGAAAAATTATAGTTTTAATTCCAAGCGACAGTTTTAAATTCTAATTTATAAATATGCATACAGAGGACCGAAAAATGCATGGAAAAAATTTCTAACAAGTATCTATAACAATTTCCAACAAAAGAGTGTAGAAAGTTAACAAATTTATGATTAACAAGATAGACCTTCTTCATCCCTCTTAAATTGGTCCAAAAAATAAATACTTCATCTTTTTTACAAACTATAATTCTAATTTTCCAAACAAAGACAAATTATCCGCACCCGACGATTCTCCTAGTAGACACAGAAAATCGAGTTCGATAATTAAAAACTGTTTGATCGATGTACAAAGTGCAATTTAAAACACGAGCCTACCCAATCCCCTTTCACACGGTGCCATAAAAGGGTTAACTGAATCCAACCGGTATATCTCTCCCCCCTCGAAAACAGCGTCTTCGCCGGAACGAGCCAAGCGAGAGAGAAGTCTTCCAGCGACGATAAAAATATCGCGCGGGATATTTTGAACATTGTTCGCCCCACGGAGTCCGTCGGACGAGGAGAAAGAAACGCGGTGCGCTACGCTGCGCGCGCATACGGTCGAATTTATGTCCGAGTTTTCCGGGGCGAAATTCGCCGCGTGAGAGTTTGATGCACCGTGGCAAAAATTGCCGGTGCCGGTGCTACGTGATGAAAATCGACAATAAGGCCCCTAGACCAGTCGAGAACTGGCGGTGGCCTGTTCCAAGTGAGAAAGAGAGAAACAGAGAGAGGAAGATGAAGGTGAACGAGAAGCAGCAGCCCGCGGCCACGAGGATGCGGCAGTGTTTAAAATCGAACGGAAATCCAGTTGAACCGCGTCCACCACCATTGCAGCGGTTGCTAATAATAGAGTAGATGCTGGAAGGATAGAAATACGACTTCCTTCGCCACTCTGTACCCTCCTGCGTCCCAAGAATAACGGGCTTTCCGTTCGATACAGCCGCGCGCGACCGACGAAATAAGGGGTCAGGGGCGGCAACCTAATTCAAACACTCGATACAGACCTAACAGCAGGGGGGGAAACCACGCGGTCACACGCCAGACGTTTTTTCACGGGTTTTGTTTTTCTAGTTTCGATCGTCGAAGATGGATTTTTAGTCGAGTTTCTTTTCGGTTGGATGATTTTTCGAAATTTTCTTTTTCTCGTTTTGGTTGCACTGGAGAAAATAAATTGGAACTAGCAACGACGATAAGAGCTATTTGGTTAGGTCGACACTTGAAACGCTGCCTTTCTGTGACTCTTTTGTGGATAATATTTGAAGAATTTTGATAACTGGTCGGTTCGAGAGTTTGAAGCATAAGTGGTTGTTTAATTTGAGGTTATTTCTTCGTGTGTTCGAGTGTATAGACTGTTTTGTGCAGAGAGAATTGATACTTTTATTTAGAAAAGTGAAAAAAATTGGAATTGTTTTACATATTCAAGTTTCTATATGTGTGTGATTGTTTGTGTTGCAAGATTTTCCATTCATGACACAACTTGCAAATGCAGTTTCACTTTCTTACACTTTCCAAGAAAATTCAACCACTAAATCGTCACGATAATTCTATTTCTGTGACTGTGAAAGCGTATCCTAAAAGCGAGGCGTCACCATAAAAGGCGGTTTGATATCAAACATATCCAACTAGTCGAGGCTCCCTGTCTCTACACGTAAACCGAAACAGTCAACTTTCACACAATAGAGCGAAGGAGAAAATATTCTACACGCTGAATGCCTAACCTTCAAACTTCAAACCGTATCTAACCTCTGTGATCGAAATCTCCAATACCGCGAACTAACCTCAAATTACTCCGACGAAAAATAATCGTAAAAAATCCTGTCTCATTTTATGAAGTTTCACTTTCACTCCGAGGAATGGTGATTTTTCGAACGGTCAATTTTCTCTGATTGAAAGATCAAAAAGATCATCGAGCGACTGAATGTGCACTTTAGCACAGCGTTCAATCTAGAAACTCGACACCTTAAACCACTTCGCCTCCCGTCGTCCCACGCGATTTCACGATAGCTGTTCGATGCTAACTGCGCTCTCTGCCGTCTCTAAATCGAGTTAGCGAACATTAGCGGTGAATCAACCCTCTTATTAGACAGCACGTGTCCCTTATCGCGGCCAATAAGTGAACCGACGTTATCGGTCGACCCAGGAAGCGTGTGAACTCATAAAATCAATGATCCCTACGATACATTACGTCATCGATAATCGGTCCGTGCT